TTTTTTTTTTTTTTTTTTTGCAAGAATCTTATGTCGGTGAACTCAATAAATTTTGGATTTCACATAAAGGTTTATTGGATATTAAAAATTTTTCTTCTGTAACAGTGCAGTCAACGCTTTGATGTGTAAATTCTTTAAAAAATATAGAAAATGCGATGAATGAATGAGCTGTGGTTGCTGGCCTTCGAGATGAAAATTTTAACTGCTTTAGTTTGGCAGCATTGGAAAGAGATGTCAGCATTGGTCATTCATGCATTGTTCTTTGGCTATTGATTAAATACAGGGAAAATATATGTTGAAAAAAAAATGTCAGTATATTGAAAATTTAGTACATAATTTTTTTTTTTTTAAATTTATTCTTGTGATAAAGTTGATTCTTGTTTTTTTTTTTAAATTATCAACTTCTTTATAGTACCGATCCGGAAGAGTCTTCTAAGTCTTTTTTTTTCTTCGCTTAATCTGTAACAGTTGTTTGAGTGCTGAAGAGTGGTTTGGCAGAAAAAAAAAAAAGGGAATTTTTCTTGTAAAGTTTAAAAGAGGAAAATAAAGAAGTTAAAGAAAGTTTTCTACTTTTTTATTTTTTCGTACTAAAAGTTTCTCTAATTTTTTTTTCACATTTATCGCCGTATACGGCTCTTTTTTTTCGTTTACTTTACAGCAGTTATAGTGTTGGATTGGTGAGTGTGTATGTGTGTGGTACTTAGGAGTTGAAAATTATAACTGAAAACCTGTTCGATAATAAGAAAAAAAAAAAATTAGAAAGTTGTTTATTACGGTCATTAGAATTTTTTTTGTGGTTTTCGCAAATGGAAATATTTTTTTACTTTTTCAACTTTTTCTTTTGTTGTTTTGAACTGTAAGAAAAGTTGTTGTTTTAAAGTGTAAAGAAGTTTTTTTTTTCTGTTCAAATATAACAGTCTGTTTTACCTGTTGTAAATGTTTGCTGATAAACTGATGATAAAAACTTAGGAAACAGTTATAATCAGTAATTTGTACAGATTTGTCAATAATTTTTCTTTTTTTTTCTTTTAAAAGCTTTGAAATCTGAAGAGTTGCAAAAGGAAAAAAAAAAAGGGAGAAGTATAGAAGACCAAACAAGTGGTGGCCTAATTTGAGTGGAATAATTTTTCTTTGGTGTCAAAACAGGATCTGAAAAAAAAAAAAAAAAGTTTTTTTTTCTTTTTCCTTTTTTTGAAATAAAACAGAATTTTTGAATGTGCATTTGGATGTAAAGTATTTATGTATTTTTATGTATATATGGATGTTTTGTGCTA